TGACAATGAGTAATACTGTTGATGTTGAAGCCCAGACATCACTTTATCAATGGGATGTTTTGATTCCCTATGTGTCTCACAGTTTACAAAACTGAAATAATTTAAAGCATTTCCCCCTCTTGGTTTGTAATGAAAGGTTAGAGTAACAATATGTTCTCCATTCGTCAGAATACTCCCTACTGTTTTTGTAAGCTTGCAATGAAAGAAGTTTGTTTTGAGCTGCATTTCCAAGAGAGAGTGGGCAGGAAGTAGTTTCTATATTTAAGAATTCTTTTGAATATGGCCTGAATTGATAATGAAAATTCAATGGCAAATGGAAAATGAGCTCATTTAAGAACAGCATGTAATTCATCATGATCATTGGCTGCTATGACATAATATTTATATTAATGATAACTTGCATTAGTATAAATGCTTGGGAGTTTTTCCTGAATGCTAAGGAAGCTGTGTATGATACTCCTTTACGTTTCTATAGTACACTGTACATACTAGGTACCAATTAAATATATGTTGTATAGATGAGTCCAAAGTATATTTTCACATCTATTTTGATCCTCACCACAATACTTTGAAGAATCACATAAGGACACTGAAGTGTAAAAATATCAGGGGCTCCTGTTTTGCCACAGGCATTATAGAAGCATGGCTAAACATTTAAATGCATGGCCTCCGAAGTCAGACCTGGGACCAAATCCTGGCTCTGCTACTGTATTAGTTTGCTAAGGCTGCCATAACAAAATGCCACCGACTAAGCAGTTTAAATAACAGAATTTATTTTCTCACATGTCTGAAGGCTAGAAGTCCAAGATCAAGGTATTGGCAGGGTTGGTTTGTGGTGAGAGCTCTCTTCCCAGCTTGTAGATGGCCACCTTCTCACCGTATCCTCACACGGTCTTTCCTCTGTGCATACGAATGTCTGCATCTTACTCTCCTCTTCATATAATGACACCAGTCAGATCAGATTAGGCCCACCCATATGACCTCATTTTACCTTAATTACCTCTTTAAAGATCCTATCTACAAATACAGTCACGTTCTGAGGCACTAGGGATTGGGACTTCAACATATGAAATTAAAGAGGGAACAAAATTTAGCCCATGACATAGACTTGATGACAGGGCCATCTTAACTCTGTGAATGAGTTTCCTCCTATTTTTCTACTGAACTTGTGTCATCTTCTTGTTGATTTATTCATATAATCTGAATCTTAATCTTTGCTCTCTGTATATTTTCCTCAAGTACTTCACTATAATGATGTTTTTTATCCTAGAGAAAATTTTAATTTTAACATACTCAATATTTTGCTATATAACTTTTGTGTTTTGAGGCTTCTTTAGGAAAGAACTTCCTTTTTCAAGGTTATAAACATATTCTCATATTTTCTTTTAGTAGGATCAAAATTCATTTTTGTACTCACATCTTTAATTCATTTGTCCGATATTTGGTGAATGATCTGAAGTAGGAGAAAAACATTCTATTTTTTCCCAAATAAACGACTGTCCCAAAAACATTTTTTGAACTGAGTAATTTTCCCTGTAATGTTGTCTATAGACATGTCCTCACCTTTTTATCTGCAAATCTTTCTTCATTATACTCTAGTCAATGTTCCATCTTCATCAAACTCCTGAGACTGCTCATGTCAAGGGCATGAATGACTTTTATGTTGCCAAAGGCAGTGGTCACTTCTCTATCCTCATTCTTCTTGACTTTTTGGCATGTCCCACACAATTCACCATTCTCTTTTGAAGCACTTTATTTCATTGGCTTCCAGGACCCCACACTCTCTTAGTTTTTGTCCCAATGTGACTGGCCACTCCTTTTTAGTTACTATTGTTGGCTCTAATTCTTTATCTTCACTTTAAACTCTGGACTGCTCCAGGACTCACTTCAGAGCCCTGCTACTTTTCTATTCACCCTCTCTTTAGATAATATCATCTGGTTGCACGTTTTTATGTAATATTGATATGCTCATGATTGTCTAATCTACATGTCCATCCCTGACCTCTTCCTAGAACTCTAGACTCCTTTAGTTTTCTTCCTGCTTGACATCTCCACATTGATGTCTAATAGGGATCTTAAACTCAGCATGTCTAAATCACAACTCTTGATTCCCCTTCCCCCAAAGCCTGCTTTGCCACAAGGCTCTCTCATCAACCCTGTTTATCAAACCAAAAATCTAAGATGCACTCTTGCTTCCTCACTTTAATGTTCTAAATCCTTTTTACCACTCAATCCTTTTAACTCCATCTCAGAAACAGAATTTTTTTCCAGGTTTATTGAGAAACAATTGCCATACATCACTGAGAAACAGATGTTTTTGTCTCTATATCTCAGCAGTGTCCTTCCTAGTCCAAACTACCACTATCTCTCCAGTAGACTTCTACAGTACTCTTCCAACAGGCTGCCTCAAAATCTACCCTCCACAGAAATACTTTTCTAATCTTTATCTGATCACCCTTTAGTGTCCTCACACTGCACTCAGATAAAATTGGAATTCACTACCCAGGCCTACAAAGCCAGACTTGGTCTGGCTCCTGCCTTCTTCTCCAACCTTATCTTGCTCCACTGTCCGCCTCACATGTTATTCTCACCATGCTTGCCTTATATCAGCTCCTTGACTACAGAAAAGCTGCTCTCTTATGAGGGACGTTGTACTAATCCTGCGCTAACTCAGCTGGTATACTCTTCTTCAATTCTTAGCATGGCTCAAGCCTAAAATCATGACTGTCTCAGATTAAATATTACCTCCAGAGAGAGGCCTTTCCTGACTATCTAATAAAACTCCCAATTTTCTCACTGTGGGTGCCCTATTTTAATTCTCTGCAGAACACTAGTGATATTTTCTTGCTTATTTTTTCATTGGTCTTCTACCTGTAACATCCCACTAGAATGCAAGTTCTGTAAAAGCACCAACGTATCCTCATTCTGTAAAAGTACCCCAGCATACAATAAGTGCTCAATAAACATTTGGGTCTAGTTTTTGAAACTCTAATCAATTCCATTGATATATTCATCATTTTTGCACAAATACCACACTGTCTTTATCACTATAGCTTCAGTAGATATCTTAATATCTAGTAGAGTAAGAACTACCCCACCACACACATTGCCTTTTTCAAAACTGTTTTTTCTAAGATTGTGAAATATCTATTTTACATAAATTTCAGACTCAGCTGATCATGTTTCCTGTTAAATCCTTTTGGAATTTTTATTGGTATTGTTTTGAATTCATACATTAGTTTGAGGAAAACTGACATCTATATAATACTGAGGCTTCACATTAAAAACACGGTATATTTCTTCACTTATTTTTGTGCCCTTTAATTTAGTTTTACAGTTTCCTTTTCATTGGTTTTAAAGTTCTTCGTAGGTAATTTATAGATATTTTAAAACTGTTGGGAACATATGTTTTTCTATCATACTTGTCAATTTCCAGTGTATAAGACAGCTATTTTATCCAGATCTTATATTGAGGTCTTTTATTTGTTCTAATAATTTATAGTTGGTTTTCTTGATTTTTTAAAAGAGATGACCAAATTATTTTCACAGGATGCTTCTTCAACTTTTTTAGATACCATATTGCATTGGCCAAGACCTCCAGAAAAATGCTCAATAGCAACATTAATGTGGGCATCCCCATTGTGCTCCAGCTTTCACAAAACCACTGTTAACTATGATGTTTGCTCTGAGTTTCTGGCAGGAACCCTCATCCCTTTGCAGTGTTTATATAATTTAAAAAGTAGCTTTTTAAATAACATTTTTAAGAAATCAGCTTTACAATAAGAAGAACTGAAATTTAGAAATGAGGAAATCCTGACTCAGAGATTCAAGTAATTTATCATAGTTCACAAAATCTAATAAGTAATTAAGCAAGGATTTATATCCAACTTTATCTAGCTCCAGAGCCCACACTCCTCCCACTGTATTCCATATTTAATTCAGTGAGATATTACACCAAGTCTTTCAACATGTCCTAGCGGAAAAGATAACAAATATATACTGGGTTTATGGGCTAATTAATAACCATACCCAAAAGATGTCTATCTTGATGTCAATTCTGAAGAAAATTTCAAAGTAGAAAGTCATAGAGACCTAGCTGTTTGTCATTAACAGCCATATCTTGTAAAATTAATGGCTTACATTAAGGCAAAGAGGGTAAAGGTGCAGATAACTAGGTTGAAGAGGTCAGTTAATACAATGGGTTACAGAACAGAGCTCAAAAACACCTAAAGAGCTGAAGGGCCAGCCCTGGTGGCCAAGTGGTTAAGTTCAGTATGCTCTGCTCCAGCAGCCCTGGGTCGGTTCCCGGGACTGGACCTACACCACTCTGTTAGCGGCCATGCTGTGCTGACAGCCCACATACTAAAAAATAGAGGAAGATTGGCACAGATGTTAGTTCAGGGTGAATCTTCCTCAGCAAAACAAAACAAAACAAAACAAAACAAAAAAACATCTAAAGAGCTGAAACATTGGGCAAAAACAAGCAAGACAAATTTCAAATGATTAGAGGTAAAGATTGACTATTAGGTTCAAAAAAAATCAAATACACATAAATAGGATGAGAATAACCTTGTGAAAAAGAACTAGCAGTTTAAACCAAAAGCTAACTTTCTGCAACATGGTTGCTAAGTATACTCAATACGATTTCAAGATGCATGGATATCATTGTGCTCGACCATAGCAAGAGGTTAATAGTACCACTCTCCATATCTGGAAATACATATTTAGTTCTAGAAATTATATTTAATTTGGTCATGGCCTAGTAAGGATGCAAGTCACTACCAGATATTTATTTCATCAAGTCCAAGATGGGGAAAATTTCAGAGGCACTGAGGAACCTTAAGACTTTCCATGATTGGTTAGGTAATTCTTGGGGAACGAGAAGTCCACAAAACAGTGCACTTCTTGTGGGCTCAACTTCATCAGAATAGGAACAGCCTCCTATAAAAAAATCATTATCACATCTTTTGTGTAACCTAAGAGTTCCTATCTATACTTACCGCTACTCCGGTCTTATAGAGGAGGTAATGCACGGTCTGTGTGACGTCGGCAGCATGCATTAAGTTGTGGTAAGGATTTTTATGCTTGCTGTATCCCACTTCCAGGGCCTCCACGAATGAGACCAGTGCAGAAATGGGGATCTGAAAGAGAGCAGCAAAGTTCATCAGTTAGTGATTTAGTGGCTTTAAGTGAGGACGCAAAAGTCTAAGGCACTCTAGCTGCCTCTTTCTGGAGGCATGACATACCCATACCACATGAGGAAATCAGAACTTTTCAAAGTCAGTAAAAATCACTGAAGAAATTATCATATAATTTTAAAATCTGACAGGAAGCCTGGTCTGCCCTACAAATTATTCTTTGTTTTCCAGTCCAGAGGCCCAGGGAAAAGACACAGGATCATCTCAAAGACATTTAAGGCAGAAGGGTGTGTATTCACCTATTTCTCAGGTAATGGCTAAAGTCTTATATCTCGAGAAATAAATGAACACGTACTATGCAGCATGTCTCATTTATTTTATTTGTGGGCAAACATAATGTACACAAAGATCTCAAGTAATAAAATGATTGCAAAACAAACATGAGCTGCCTCCTCCCGAAAACCATGCCCTTTAGAAGCAGTGATTGTATACACCAAACACATGAAAAACAAACACATGATAGTCTGTTCTGTAATCCAGAAACAGGCTGTGTTCTTATGTTTATTATTTGGCAATTTATTATTGGTGCCTTGCAATTTGGAATAATATTTCCAATTAGCCTAACTGCTTCCTGTCTCAAATACATATAATATATATACCTTCTTTTTCTATGTAGCAGAAAGCGAACAACTGCAAAAAGCTTGTACAAAATTAAGGAGACTCTGAAAACATTCACTGTAATAGTTTTCTGGATCAATTCCTTGGTTAGGGTAAATTATCAAGTACCAGGCTGGGGGAAAAGGAGAGAGTGTGTGTTCCAGGAGACTAAAAATCATATTCATAAGAAAAAATAAGGACAACACTACTATAGTGCTTCGTGAGAGTCCGTAATGCCTTGGGCACATTCTTCTATAGCTACCATTTGTGGATTTTTTAAAAATTTAAATATTGCCTTTTAGATGTGAGAGATTAATTCATTATCATTTTTAAAAATGAAGATCCAGTGAACCTGGGGCCTTTGGGCTCTTCTTTGGAGATCTATGAGCCACTGAAATGCTAGGTAAAGGTGTGTGTATGTTCATGGGAGCTTTGTTCTGAGGAAAGGGTCTCGAGCATCCCACTGGGTTTTGAAGCAGGTTTCTGATGCAAAAGAAATTAAGGACCACTGCCATAAAGTATTTATGGCTATGTAAGAAATACACCCCCAAATATGCCGTCCTTAGAAAAGCAATATAGAATGGTGCTGTCCAGAGAAATTAATTTGTTATTCAGAAAAAAACCTGCATTTTTCAGAAGGTCCTCCGTATGATGAGAGAAGTCTGAGGAGTGTGATATGACAGCTGTTAGCAGCTGAAAGCACAGGTTCCTGCAAAACCTGGCCCGACCTCCAGAGTCCGCAGTATTAGGAGGCTGAAGGGGTTGAACACTGGAAACAAGTCTCGTTCTTTACTTAAAGTTGAAGCATTAATTTGAAGCATGAATGGCTGGGAAATACCAGTGATCTGGCACAGATGATAAGTGAGAGTATTTATCTGAATTTGAGACATGTGGTGGAAAAAGAAGTTTGCAGAGACAGCAGATGTGCACTCAGTCTCCATTACTGTCTACTTGCCGCTGGTGGTGGATAGTACACGAAGTTAGGCTGAAATGAGATCTGCAGGCAGAGCCTGAGGGGGAGGTCTGTGAGTTCAGGCTTCTAGTTGTACCCGTAGGAAGACTGGGATCTAAATGGGCAGCTCCAGCCTCTCTCCTGCCAATGAGACCACCAGGCAAGGGAGTAATGAAAAGTTCCCACCACAGAGGAGGTCACAGCAGCGGCTGTCCTGACGATGCTTCCTAAGTCACCCAGAGCAGTTTTGGGTCTATGTTAGATTCTCTTGGTCTTAGCCCAAAAGTCATGTAAGGATGGACAAATGTGTGCAGTTGTTCTTTTTAATTAGGCACTGACCTTGAAACGGCTGATCAGATCATAGCGTGTGAGTAATTCATAGAAAATGAATTTCAGTGCATGATCCCCACTGGCTTCATTGAGGGAAAAGACATCAAAGGACCACTTGTCCACATCCTGCAGGACAGAGCAGCGAGGAAGAATGCATTAGTCCGCAGTCGCTTACACAGCTACCAACCTCCCTACTTTGGCGCTGGCCTGCAGTCCTCATCTGAGATTTCACAGCCTAAGAGTCTAACACTCTTTCCACTCTCGAACTTTTTCCAACCTGGCAGTTCTACCTAGCATTTACTGATAAAATATTAAATAGTCTTATTACTAATAAAAACAGCTATAATTTATCGAGTGCCTACCATATGTTAGGCATTGTGATCAGTGATGAATATGGAATTTATCCTACAAACAACTCTAAGTGATAGGTATTATAAGTCACATTTAGCAGATGAGAAAACTGAGAAGTTATCTAATTTCCCTAAGACCCATAGCAAGCAAGTGCTAGGGACACAAGTGGGGCCAGAACACACACATACGTTCAACTGATGCCTAAGCTCAGTCTCTTTCCATTAAGCCCTTCCACTACTTTTGCCAAATTTCAAATATTTAATTCACTTCACGATAACTGAGGGTACTTGCTACTCTAAACTTCTCCGCAGCCCCTTGGTACTACCTACTGACTTCCTGTCAGTCCATAGTTGAGAATGTTAACTCACTTAAAAGTGTTCAGAAACGTGCATGATATAGAATACGAAATAATGTGTCACTTCAATCCAAACTGCTGAGCTGAAACCAAGGAGAAAGACTTCATTTCATAGGACAGAAAAAAGATATCACTTCTGGAATCACTGATCCGGGGACGTAGTCCTAAAATCTGTAAGTCACTTTACTGAAAAAAGTAGAACTAAGAGCTGAGCTGAACACACTCCTCACACACCATTCTTGAAGTTCAAAGCCTTATTTATCTATAAATAGTTACTCCAAAATAAACGTAAACATTGGCTGATGTGTCTTTGACTTATAACTAGCTACTTTGGATGTTATAAAGAAAGGTGTGGCCCTAGGCCACAAACTTTTCCAAAGCAACAGTCATTTGGTTTCTCATCATGTCAAGAGTCTCACTTTGAGTAGTTAAAGAAAGTGCACTGCTGTGATCGTGACAATAAGGAACCGTGTGAGACCACACTGAGTCCAGGCAAGGTATCAGATGGTTCCCTGGAAGAGAACTCTCCCCTCAGCCCCCACTACATTCCAACATCATCCATCCATCCCAATCCTATCCCTCTCCAAACATCCCAACCATCAAGATCATCTCAAGGCCATCAAGGGTCTCTCTCACGGATGCCAGGATATACGAAAACAAACTGTATATAGGGAAAACCAAACTTTTCCGAAAAGGTTTCAACTGGATTGTCTCAATTCACACTTCATGGTAACCTCACCTCAGCCTTCAAGAACTTTTCCTCCATTACAATAACTAAAGAAATAACTACAAGTATTGAGCACATTTTTTATGCTAGGCACAGTGCAAAGTGTTTATGTACATTTGCAAACAATCACAACTCTAGAAATGGATGTTACCTTCCCCCAGTTTTACAGTTGGCAACCTCAGAGAGATCAAATGAAGTGTCTAATGCCATTCGGTAGCAGAACCAGGTAATACCCCCACTGACACCCCCTAGGAAATTACTGTGCACAGATGACATTGTAAACTCAACGAATATATGCTGTCACCCAGGCCTCATGCCCTACATACTCCAATAGGACCTACGTCATAGTTAGCGGGGCCATTTAAGATTTACCCAAGACCTAAGGCTTCACATTGGTTACTCTAATTGGCGTTGTCATGACATCCATTGTCTGGCCTAAAGAAAAGTCCACTGACAATTCAGTAGGTGGGAAAACACTTTGTTACATCTGACAATTTTTAGTCCTCTTCTCTGGAATGAACAAAAAAGAAACAGGCTCTCTACCACTGGAAATAAAGAGATTATCATACTAAAAAGTCAATTTATTCTGAAAATTAGGATTTAGAGAAATGAGAGAATGAGGAAATAGAGACAGCATGATGGATGGCCTCTCCAGCCCCTCATTTTCAGGAGGCATTAGCTGTGATTCTCAAATTTTAATGTTCTTCAAAACCAGCTGGGATGCTCAGGAAAAATGCCGATTCTCACGTAGAGGACTCTGCAGAATCCAGGTGTGGGGCCTGGAATCTGCACTTTAACAAGCACCTAATTTAACTGCCTTAAACCATTCTTCCTCTTTTACCAAACTCAGTCCAAAGACCATTCCCGTGAAGAAGCTGCATGAACTTCCTATCATGCTCACACAAAGGAAGCCTCGACCTCCTCATTTCCTCCCACTGTATACCTGGAGTCCATCCAGGGTGTCTCTTCTTGAGTCACACAACAGATGCCCTTCTAAAGAACAGCACACTTCTACATTTCCAATAACCCCACCCCAGAAGACTAGAGATAAAACACCCCAAATTAGAAGCTAGTATATATTGAATGGAAAAAATAAAAAGAACAAAAATGCAACGTATTTCACATTTGGAGATTGCTGGTGGTTAATTATTCTCTTACTTAAACTTAATTTTATGCCATGTTCTTACATTAATCACAAAGGTTAACATGACAGTAGCATGATGGTTATTTTATTGAATTGTATTCTCTCAGTCTTTGGGGAAATTTTCTGTAATAGAAGATAACAATAGTGGTTCCATATATCCTGCTGGCATTGAAGTGGAAATAACCTTTTTCTAACAGGCACTACATAAACACAGAAAAAAAAAAAAAGAATTTATCTGCGTGATCTCCCCAATTTACCTCCAACCCACTGCAAATAAAGCCAGAGTCTAGGAGGTGGAAAAATATTACATTGTAAAAAGGTCTTGAACTTCCCCAGCAAACAGAGGACAGGACCAAGAGAAATAGCAGCTTTAGCCTTATGCACACATCAGCAGTACTTGTGGAGAAGGGTGGCAATTCAGAGAGAGAGTACTTATTCTTTGCCTGAATCATCTAGGTAACTTTCCCCTCAGAAAGACAACATATGTGCATCTGAGAATTACTTTTCCCTAAGCCTAACATAACAATTCATACACATCACAGGTTGTTCCATATTTTCTTCAGTTATTCTGCAAAGAAAAGATGCTCCAATTTGGAAGAAATATTTTCATAAATTTCTTAGTACAGGTATAAACACTTGTATTTATGTTCACAATAAAGGAAGAAATTAAAGATAAAAGATGCTTTCAATGTTCCTAAGATTGTCACTGAATGATTCAGGTTCAGTTATAAAAATCAATGCAACTTCATAATGGGTGTTATGAAATATCATCTCATGAAGTGATTTCACTGATTAAATAGGAAATATCACAGTAAATTACACTGATGTGTTGGGCATTAGAGTGGGGGTGAAGAGGAGGGAGAGAAACCATGTGTCTTCTTGCTATATTCTTCTTGAGTATCCTTTCTGTTCTTAAGATGAGTTAAGAAGAGACAGAAAATGGAGAACTGAGAATCTGAATATATAGGATCTCACAAATTCAGCTAGTGAGACAAGAGAAAGGCACTATGAGATACATAATCAAAATGGCCCTATATAGCTCTTTCTTGACATTAAAATTGATCAAGAAGCACTGCCACCCCTGATTCCATGAATAGGTAATTTAAGCAATCTTCTGAAAATATCATCAGGTAATATATTTCTCAGGTTTCAAAGATAGTAATAGCTTTAACAATGGCTTTAACAAAGTCAGAATGCCAGGACTTCCCCGAGCAAGCAGACACGACTCTGTGTGTAGGCACCACGCAATGTCAACCAGCCCAGTGATCTTAGATCTTAGCGCAGCCCCACTCTCAAACACAGAAACCAAATCAGCTTCAGCACAGCTGGGATCCCCTCAGCCCAGTGGATCTGAATTAACACACACCTAGAGGAATACATCTGCTTTGGGACTCTTAGAGATATTCTATGCAATTCTAAGAGCTTGCCTGATTGGGAGTAATTCTGCAGAATTTAGCCCATTTAAACTCAAACATCCGCGTGACTTCCCATGGAACTTCTGGGCTCAGTGAGAGTCTTCGGAAAACAGGAGATATGGAAAGAACATGGGCTCTGGGGCATCCATTCATGCTGTAACATGTTACTGAGAGCTAACTATATGCCTGGAACTCTGGTATCAAACCTTAGCTCTGCATCTAATTAACTGTCTTTTTTTTAATCTTTCTGAGTCTTAGTTTCTTCATCTATAAAATGGACATAGAGTAGGTAATCGGATAGTGGTACACTTATGATCACCAAAGATCCTCCTGATGTTATAACCAGAACAAATTTGAACTCCTCTGGCCAAATTCAAACTGAGTCTCATAATGCCAGATCACTGTACAGATCACTCAACTACTCCAAAGCAGTAGAAAGAAATGAAACCCACACAGAGTTTGGCTTTTAAAAAATTAGCAAGACACAGGCTGAAAAGATAGTGATATTGTTGGAACAAACAAGTAAAAGATAATGAAAGAAAAAAGTCAAGGATGACTGGGAAATCTGTAAATAAAACCTTCTTATTTTCCAGCAACAAATTTACCTGTACTTTCTATAGGATACCATGTACACTGTAAGACCTTTTCATTGGTATTACCTTTAAGGCTTCGATAACAGCTGCTGGGTAGCTCAGTCCAACCATGTTTGATGTCCGTCTATACATTCTGGCAAAGACAGAGGGGGAAATGCATATATCTTACAAAGAAGAATTAGCAGGCCACAAACTTATACCAAGCATTGACAAATAATGAGAAACCATGTCGTCTGGTGACCCAAGAAACCTAAAATTTCTTTTATAACCTTTTTCATAGTCACTCAAGTGGCCTAAGTGTTAAATTCAAAAGAATGTAAAGCAGTCCCAAACTAATGAACCATTGGATACAAACAAACAAAAATTAATCTATGTGCCCCAAATTGGAAATTAAATTACTAAAGTGGGTCATCTCTTCTCCCAGAAGTGAATTATAGTATAGCACGGACAGTATGCAATGTAGTACTTTACACTGGACAAAGAACTCCTATGGGCAACCCACTTAGAAGAGCTTGTTCTTTAGAACTGTCAAAAACAAGAAGAAAAATGTCCCTGGTGAACTTTGAACTGACTGTGGCATTTCTAAAACATGGAATTGTGCAATAAGGATTATAGAAAGACTAAATTGATTTCTGGAATCTATTTCTGGGGAAGGGAAGCAATTCAACTTCAAAGAGCAAAATGACTAACAAAATTGGAAAGTGTCGTGGAGAACTCACACCCCTTAAGTGGACTGTCCTCCCTGGGTCAACAACCTCAAGGCATCCCTAACCTGTTCCAAATGCAGACACCATCCACACACGTCAAAGGAAGATGGATTAGATGATGTCCTTCTTTAAAAACTAGAGACTGAACTCAAGCTAAATCTTCTCTAGTTAACAAAAAGAATTCTGAGCAAAGGCAAAAGCCTGTCTTAATGAAGCTACAGAGATTAAAATAGATATGATTTTGCCATCTCTCATTCAAGACTGTTTCCGTCCAGAATTTTCAGTATTTATAAAGATATCAAAACTACATCAAAGCAAAGCTTCTGGGTATTGAAACTGGCGGTCCTTTTGCTGCTTTGGTCATTGAATGACAGCTCTCTTTACCTCTCCACGAATATCCCCGCCTGGACTGCATGGACGATGCTCTTGAACCGCGGCTTCTCCTCGCTCCTTCTGAGCATCATCCCCATCTGCCGTGTGAAGGTGGACGCCAGCCAGTCTCGGACTTCAGAAGGCACCGCATCTGACTGAATGTCACTGAGCTCATCCTCCGTATCCAGGAGTCGCCTGAACACAAGAAACACCACCGGGACACTGAGATTAAATCTGAAGTTATAGCTCTCTGTTCAAATAGCTGCTCCTTCTCTCCACCCCACTTGCATACACAGTTGTAAAAAAGCCAAATTAAATTGGCCACAAAAAATATAGCACATTTTTGGTAAGGGCTGTGAAAGCTCACCATTTGTGTTTCAGAATGGTGTTTCCCACCATTTATGTTTCAGGATGGCCCTCTTTAGCAGACTAGAGAAAGGAACAAAGGCGTCAGAGAAAGTCAAATATACTCCTTCTCAGGTTCTGTGGGTCCAGACCCACTACACTCAGGAGCACCCGGTATCTTTATTCCCAGAAGGTCTGTGAAATTTGAATGGAATATAAACCTTCCATTTAAAAATGCATTCACAGGGGGCCCGGCCTGGTGGTGCAAGAGGTTAAGTGTGCGCGCTCTGCTGCAGCGGCCCGGGGTTCGCAGGTTCGGATCCTGGGTGCGCACCAACGCACCGCTTGTCAAGCCATGCTGTGGCAGCATCCCATATAAAGAAGAGGAAGAAGGGCATGGATGTTAGTCCAGCATCAGTCTTCCTCAGCAAAAAAAGAGGAGGATTGGCAGATGTTAGCTCAGGGCCAAACTTCCTCACACATACACAAAAAAATGCATTCACAGGGAGGTTTGTTTCATACACGGATCATGTAGCATTATTTTGCTTAAAAAAAAAAAGGACGTTTAAAGACTTTGCTATAGACAACAATACTGTATTATAAACTTCAAAGTTGCTAACAGACTAGTTTGTTTCCAGCACACAAAAAATATTGGTATTTTGGGGCCGGCCCAGTGGCACAGCGGTTAAGTGTGTGCGCTCTGCTTCGGCAGCCCGGGGTTCGTGGGTTCAGACCCCCAGTACGCACCCACGTACAGCTTGTCAAGCCATGCTGTGGCGGCATCCCATATAAAGTAGAGGAAGACGGGCATGGATATTAGCCCAGGGCCAATCTTCCTTGGAAAAAAGAGGAGGATTGGCATCGGATGTTAGCTCAGGGCTGATCTTCCTCACCAAAAAAAAAAAAATTTGATATTTATGTGATGTGATAGAGGTGTTAACTAATGCTATGGTGATAATCATATTGCAATATATAAACATATCAAGTCAACACATTATATACCTTAAACTTACATAATATGTCAATTATAGCTTAATAAAAATAAATTTAAAAACGAGAAATAAAGACTTTGCAAAGTATTACCCAAATCACACAAACCCAGTCCTCTGAAGTAAGGAACCCAGTTGATGTCAAGTGATATTCTTTCTAGTTTGCTAAGACATCACAGAAACTTAAATGTCTAAATTCAGGCAAAATTTCCAAAATAATGCAGTTCTTTATTTGAGCACAGTGATTTAAGTCATCTGTCAGGTGCGCTTAGCTGATTTTTCAAACTTGTTCATAGGTCAAACTATTAGAACAGAACATAAATAGCAGTAAGTTACAATAAGACTTAAAATTGCATTTTAGACTTATATTAAGACCTACCAAAAATAAGCAATAAAAACAGGCATCAATGAAAAGGTTTTTTTTTTTCCCCCTTTGGACACATCAATTGGGGGAAAGGGAGAAAATATAACATTTGGGAAAAAAACTATGATATCAAATTTCCTTATATTAGGAACCAAGCATGTCACCAAAAACTAAGCCACACATTTCTTAGATTACCGGGAAATCCTTTCAGATTGGAATTTGACATAGAAAAGTGAGACATCACAAATACGGAGGCACTTGTCTGAATTAGAAAAAAGAAGAAAAGCCCTTCATATACACCATTTCAACATTTTTCAAAAGAAAAGTAATTTTGTTACTTTCAAATGCATGTAGTAACTGGAAGTGCTTTAATACTTTGGATAATTCAAGGGGAAAGAGTCTGCTAAGAAAATCAATAACACATACGATTGAAGGAGGAACACTGAGTGCTTAAGAGGACAAATGCTTCTCTATCACTTCAGGTGCCTCCACTTACAGATGGATATTGTGAATTAAAACATGAACATAATTTATAGACTGAGGCTAACAATATGCAATAATTACAGTGGAACTCTACATTTGATTAAAAATCTTACCATATTTTTTAAAATTATTCTTTCTCCTCTTGCATTATCTCACTTCATTACCAAAATGGCCATGTGAGACAGGTTCTATTAGCTCCTTTTAGAGATGAGGAGGTACAGGACAGTGGTGTCCAAAACTACCCCATCTGTTTGTGGAAACTAAAGCTCGAAGACCAGTCATTTGAATGCTGCCTTGTACATGCCATGGGGGACATTTCAGAAAAGCCATATAACAGAAAATCTACCATCACTGAACTAATTTCTTGTCATGTTTAGCTTACCTGGTTTCATCAATGTATACAGATTCAAGCACTGTGGCTGCATATTCCAAATTCTTCTTAAGATCTACCACTGACGCCTCCCCTCTCTCTAATTGTTTGACCAAAGACCGTAACCTAGGAAAAAAAGATATGATTCAATTAAAATAGAGAAAACAAGGAATAATCCTACAATTATAGTGACACATTGTACAGCCATTGAATGTTTTTATTTATTCCAATATATCTGAAAATACAAATTGAATGATGGAGCTGACCAGTATTTCTCAAAGGAACAAGTTATAAAATAAATGCATACATTTTTGCCATTGTGAAGTAAGAACAAAAATGTTCTCATCCACCAGGCACTGACCACCCCCAACACTTTCTAGCTACATTTTATCTATCTAAGAGTTCCCTAAATTATCAATGATTTTGCTTCTTCTCTGATTTTAATTTTTTTCATTCTAATTGGATGTAGTAAAGCATGTATGACCAGCAACATCACCAAACACCACTTGAGATTCTGCTGTTGAAAGTACTTTGCTCACCAGTGCTCTGCTCAGCAGCAGTGACCATACAGAATAGCAGCCTCATGGCTCACAGGTGTTCCAACACAGGTGAGGAGGTTTAGACCACCAAAATAACCATAGAAGGCTACATAAGGGATACATGAAGGCAAACTATTTTACTCGACAGGAGGAATTCCTCTAGGAGCAGATAAATACCTTACTTTAAAGAAAAAATGAGGATGGATGATAAACCAAGGTACTGAGGACAAGACCTTCCCTACTGCTAGTCAAGAGTTCCAGATAGTATAAGAAAATGATAAACCATGCTCTCCTCTTATTTATATCAACATTATCCCCACAGAGGAGGACTCAGTATATATGAAAGCAATAAAATGCCAACAGGTGATCAAAATCCAGTAACTGGGAACACTGTAAAAGAGATTTGGAGATTGGACAACTCTTTAGGCTGTCTGACAACCAGCAAAGAAAAGAGCAAAAACTTTGAGGACAACCTCGGGTTTGAATCCCACTTCACAATATATTAGCTGTGCAATACCAGGCAAGTTATTAAACTTCTCTGAGTGTCAGCAATAAAATGGAGATCCAACCACCAAATTTCCTAAGCTGATATAAAGATTAACTCAAATTGATATTGATATAGTCACATCAACCATGTGGGTTTTTTTCCAACTTTACTGAGATATAATTGATATATAACATTGAGTAAGTTTAAGGTGATGTACAACATCACCTTAAAGTACAACATGATGATTTGATAGAAAAAAATGGTTACCGCAATAAGGTTAGTTAACATATCCATCACCTCATACAATTACACTTTTTTTGTGTGTGTCGTGAGAACATTTAAGATTTACTCTCTTAGCCACTTTTAAGTATACAATACTTGAAACTAATACTTGCTAACTATAATCACCATGCTGTACATTAGATTCCCAGAACTTACTCACCTTACGACTGGAAGTTTGTACTCTTTGACCCACATCCTCCATTTCCCAGTTGTTTTTTAAAAAGGCAATTGTTATCATTATTGTCATTATTGTTATTCAGTGACCTTGATCATTACGGGTAACCAGATAAGAAACATTCTAGCAGGATACTTAAGATTATTATCAAGTCTCCATTTCCCAAGGCTGTGCCCACCTTCCTGACTTCAAAATATCCTCAGACTTGCATGCATAAGAGAGAATAGCTCGACTTCTTGGCAAGGTGTAGACTACTCCCCTCCAGATCTAAGCAAAAATGATCAGCAATAGAGAATGAGGAAAAACTCTGGATCAACCTTAAAGAGTAGGCAAGAGGGTCAGCCACATAAAAGAAATTCACAGGAATTTCAATGATGTAAAATACAGAGGAAACCGGATTGAGAGTAGTCACTACGTGGCTTGTGAATCTCACATGCAAAAGGAAAATATACAAAGGAAATCAGCCAAGGCCTCTCTGCAGGCTTGGAGGCGAGGGTCAGCCCTGTGGCTCCCATTAGCAGCACTAGGAAGTATTCTGGGTTTTAGAGGCAGCACAGGACAGGGAGTTGGCATGGAAGGGCTCACCAGTCACTCACACAAAGTGGACAGCCAGCCTGCCAAAGAATGGGGAGACTGCAGCAGCGAGCCCTGAGAGCTGTTCCAAATAAGGAATGGAAGCTCTTTAGCAAAACACACTCCTGGCTATGTCTGCCTCTAATTTTGACTCTCACCTCCAGGGGCCCAACTGCCCCCTAGACTGTTTGGCCTCACAACAGGCAAAGTAAAATGAGGGTAAATTTAACCTTTTTTTATTTCTCTCTTCATTGGGGCTTAAAGATTCTACCAGGAATTGACATGAATCTCTAATAGGACCCATCTCAACTCTTAAAACCCAAGAGGAAAGGACAAAATGTAAAAAATGATAAGGGAAAATATACGACTAATAAAAGTAAGAACCAGATGATCTTATCTACCTATTATAGGGCTTCCATGAGAAAGAAACCAACAGAATCAGCCTTAATCAAATAAGTTTTCCTAGACTAAAGAGAAACTTTTATAAGCAGATGAAAAGGGATCAAATAAAACCGGAAAAAAATAAATGAAAACATCCAACATATGCTGCTGTAATTTTTTATTTCAAAAAAATAAAGAAAAGAACTTGAAAATCTTTGAGAAAATAAAATATATTACTTACAAAGTAACAAAAATTCAAGCTGGCCATAGACTTCTACCATGCCAAATCTCAGAAAGCAATTTAACAACGATACCAATTTTTGAGAATAATATAGTGTAATTCAAGATTATCTATATCTACAGTTAGTAGAATTGCCATGTATATGTGAAGCCAACAAATATATTCTCAGGTGTGGATAAGTTCAAAACTTTATCATTAATATGCTTTTCCAGAAAACAAAAACAAAAAACTTTAAGGCATACTCTAGGACAGTGGTCTTTCAAGAGGAGTAGATTCATGGGTCTCCAATTAAATGGACTATGCATTTGTGACCTAGATTTAACTGAGCCCAGCCAACCTTTACAAAATAGACAAGTAGTTTAAAAGATTAAAAAGAAGTGGCAGATGATGGGCCTGCCCTGGTGGCCTAGTGGTTAAGTTTGGCACGCTCTACTTCAGTGGCCTGGGTTCGCTTCCTGGGCATGGACCTACACCACTCGTCTGTTACTGGCCATGCTGTGGCAGCAGCTCACATAAAAAAAAAAGGAAAAAAAGAGGAAGACTGGCAATGGATGTTAGCTCAGGGTGAGACTTCCTTAGCAAAAAAAAAAAGAAGTGGCAGATGAAATATAGTGCTCATTATATAAGGACAACTAAACATGAAAATGACTGACACTTCTCTTTTTCCTACGACATGCTTCTATGTCTAGTATAAATGCTTCCTATGTCACTTTCACGAACTAAAAACTAATTATAATTAGTCAAAAAATAATTGAAATTATTAAGAACATTATATGGAATATCACTTTATATCCACTATTGTTAACAATTCCCACTCCTGCGAAAGCACAATACCACGGGAATCAAGTCAAGAAGAGTCTCCTATCATCTTGCGAGCTGGTGGCCAGGACCCCAGGCCAGAGCAGGAGTGGTGCTCCCAGAGGAGGCAGCACTTGGAATCCCTCTCAGCAGTTCAGATGAGCAGCACTGAAAACCATCTACCCTGGAAAGTCCCAGGCTTTGTGCCACAGTGAGCAGAAAACCAGCAGTGGGGGGCTTTACCCTGATGTGGTCACCAGTAGTGCCAGACAGACATTGGGCACAGCCACAATTATGTATCTAGTGTGAAGGTCTGACCTGACAGAAAGCTGTAAACAGAAGCAACCCCTTAGCCCAGTGGCTTCAACAAATCCAGAGAAGAAATGACACAGAATCAAGTACTTTAGGATGCATAAGAGGTACCAGAAATTCACATCCACTCCCATCTTTCTAGCTTATGAGATGAGCAGAAGATTCTACCAACACCCTGGCAGATATGAAGGAAGCTAGGACAAAACACCCACTTTGTTTATGGAAAACACCCAGCCAACAATCGCCTCTCTTTACTCATGGACCACTAAATAGACAAAAATACGTATCTACGAAAAGATTCAGCAATAAAGCAAGTGAAGGATATAGCACCCAAAATGCAGAGAAAGAACTCACTTTTGAAAAGAAAATTCACTAATGGAAACAGAAGTAAATTTTAGGGAGCATCTGCTTTGTGTTCAATAAAATTCAAGAAAACATAGACCTGTGAAACCAAGATGAAAGCTGACGTCATCACGTAATAAAAAGTGAGCACAGTGAGAAAAGAAGAAACTAAAAAGAAACAAAACATTACAATAGAAAGACTTTAAGAACTTTTTTTTTTTTAAAAAAAGTAAATGGCGACCAACTTTCTATGTACCCGGCTCCTATTTGGACTGGCACCCATCAGACACAAGCTACAGCTATCCCTGTCCACACGGCTGCCAGCTTTCTGCTCTATGTAGCTGCCACAAAAACCCTAGGGAGTGCCGCTGTCCTTATTTTCAGATACTGCTGAGCTCTAGGAGAGCATTCAAGTGGGCGCTGCTCCACTGGCCCCTCAGTCTGCCCTCTCCTCCAGTTCTTTATCCTTCTTGGAACATCCTGTCCTGCCCTCTCCTCCTTACCACCTACCTCTTTTGTGTGTGTGTGTGGGGGGGGGGAGATCAGCCCTGAGCTAACATCCACGCCAATCCTCCTCTTTTTGCTGAGGAAGACCGGCTCTGAGCTAACATCTATTGCCAATCCTTCTCCTTTTTTTCCCCAAAGCCCCAGTAGATAGTTGTATGTCATAGTCGCACATCCTTCTAGTTGCTGTATGTGGGACGCGGCCTCAGCATGGCCGGAGAAGCGGTGCATCGGTGCGCCCCCGGGGTTCCGAACCCGGGCCGCCACTAGCGGAGCGCGCGCACTTAACCGCTATGCCACGGGGCTGGCCCCCATCTACCTCTTGATGAAATTGCCGCTTTATGGGTAGAAGAGTTTCAAATTAGCTCTTTTGCCACTGGTCACCAACTAGTCTCAAACACTGAAAAACTTCCTGAAGTTTCTGAGAATAAGGAGGCACCCTTCCCTATTTTCCATCACAGTACAGGTTTTCCCTAGATCTGAATCCATCTT